AGCAGGGATATATCCCAGGGGGGAATCATTTATCCAAAATCTCAATCAATAGTGGGTGTTTTCTGCCCTAGCCAGTTTGGCTTGGTGGGTAGAGCGTTGGCCTGCAGACTGAAGGGTCCCAGGTTTGATTCCGGTCAAGAGCACATGCCCAGGTTGTGAGCTCGATCCCCAGTAGGGGGCGTGCGGGAGGCAGCCAATCAATGATTCTCGTCCTTGATGTTTCTCTCTCTCCCTTTCCCTTCCTCTCTGAAATCAATAAAAATATATATTTAAAAAAAAAATAGTGGGTGTTTTCCAAACTCACACATAAATGAAGACGTTGGCCAAAAGCCATGGGAACTGAATCCTGAGCTAAGGGAAACGTTAGCACAAGGTTCCTGGTCCATCTGAGAGAGACTGAGCCCAGGCCCCTCAGAGCAGCTCTGGGCTGGCTTGAGAAGGGGAGATGGTCACATAGGAGGGGAGGGAGTTCTGTTCAGAAGTCCTTGCCTCAGGGCCACGATGGCCGGGGTCAGTGCATCTCCCAATTCTAAATGTAAAGGAGCCCTGTGTGCACCCTAAATACAGGTAAGCTCATGCCAGGCCATGCAGGAGTCCAAAGGCTTCCCCAAGTTATCTGCAAATTCAAGGGGCTTTCCCTTGTCATGGGTCACCTGTTTCCTTCCTCTTACAGCTCTTTCACTATCTCAACCAGACACTGAACCAAATTGAATGGGCAGTAAAATAAGCTCACACATAATCCACACAAGGCAGGCGTGTGTGAGCCAGTTTCCCAGGGGCCTGGGGGGTGCCCCACATGTAGTGCACAGCCTGGTAGACTCCTTGGACCTCAGTTTTAGGCATTTTGCCTTCTTTTTTGGTTCACTGCAGCACTGGGTTCCTTCTCCCTCACTTCTCTTCCCTGTGGGATCTTCTGCCATGTTTTCTCATGACCCTATAGCACTTGTGTTTAATAACCACAGGCGGCTAGTGGCCACCACGCTGGACAGCACCGACATGAAACATCTCCACCAATCACAGAGAGCTCCTCCACAGCACTCACCTGGGCAGGCTCTCTCCAGCCTTGGTCATCTTGGCCTTTCTCGCCACCCCCAGCCCCCGCCTCCTGTATTCCCTGAGAAGCAGCAAGCACCCCTCCTTCTGTCGTGCAGAGCATTGCCTCATGCCCACACTTCAATTGCCAACACCTTCCAGGCACTCAGCAGAGCCGAACAGGCCTCAGCATCCATACCATGGCGAGATGAGTCCGGAGTTCAAATGCTGATGAGGAATGAAAACGCCACTGCAAATACAAGGGCCTCGACAGAGCAGCCCGGAGAAGAAAGTCTGGGGCACACCTTGATGAGCCGCATTTACATCTGTTTATAGGGAAATTAGTATCTCATTCTTTTTCTTCTATAATTTCATAAAATGAGTTTCTCTATTATTTATTGATGCTTCTTATCTGTTCACTTAATTCTTGCTAGAATCATTTCTAAAATTATCTTGGGGTGCAAAATTATATTTTTTAAACGGTGCTTTCTTCCAATTATTGACCTTCCCCATAGATATCCACTAACCTGACTTCTTTGCCAACAAATAGCATAGATTATTTTGGCTTATGTTGTGCTTTATGTGAATAGCATCGTGTGTTAGACTTCTTCTGGTCAACATTTTGTTCCTGAGATTGATTTCATTTCCACATTGGGGTACCATTATTATTTATACTTTTTACTGTTATTGGACATTTGACTGATTTTCCATCTGGGGGCTACTATGATGAATATTGCTGTGAACATCCTTGTCGATGTCTTTTGGTGAACATAGGGATAATTTCTGTAGAGTATTTACCAGGAAGGGAATAGTTGTATAATGTAGCTACATGTTCAACTATAAGAAGTACTGAAGTTTCCCCAAGTAGTGATACAAATGTACTAATACACTCTTACCAGGGGTGAATGACAATTTTGGTTTTTCCATATTGTTGCTGACATTTTGTACTGGGGCACTTTTCCATTTGAGCCATTCTGAAGGTTGGTATATAGCACTATTCTTTTAAAACGTAGTTGCCGCCTTAACCGGTTTGGCTCAGTGGATAGAGCGTCGACCTGCGGACTGAAGGGTCCCAGGTTCCATTCCGGTCAAGGGCATGTACCTGGGTTGCGGGCACATCCCTAGCAGGGAGTGTGCAGGAGGCAGCTGATCGATGTTTCTCTCTCATCGATGTTTCTAACTCTCTATCCCTCTCTGTTCCTCTCTGTAAAAAATCAACAAAATATATATTTTTTAAAAAAATAGTTGCCAATGGCATGCCTGCACACTGGGAAGGACGGGTATGGTCTCTCCTCTCCTCTCCTCCTCCCAGCTTGCCAACCTTGGTGTCTGCCACTTTGGAGTGAGGCATGGTGAGCAGGGACAGACAAGGGATAGAAAAGTCTTACCTCTTCAGCAAATGCTGATGGAAAATGCATCATGGTTCTGGTGGTAGAGATTTTAGACAAAGAACGCCTGTGCTTGTTGCGTGCTCTGTTTATACGATTTTCATTTTCTCAGTTTAAATAATACATTACTCAAGAAAATCTGTTGTTTTCATGAGCTTTAGCACTAATGTTTTACTTTTGCTCTTGAATTTAAAAAGTGGGTTTTCTAAGCTTCTTTACAACCAGGTAAGTGGGGATAGATCTAATAAATGAATTTGGCAAAGTAGGAGGATATAAAATTAATAATCAGAAATCAGTTGTATTTTTATACACTAATAATGAACTATCAGAAAGAAGATCTAAGAAAACAATCCCATTTACTATTGCAACAAAAAATATAAGGTACCGAGGAATAGGTTTAACTGAGGTAAAAAACCTGTACTCGGGAAATTATAGGACATGGAAGAAAGGAATTGAGGAAGCTACAAGTAAGTGGAAGCATATACCAGGAATTGAGGAAGCTACAAGTAAGTGGAAGCATATACCGTGTTCATGGATGGGAAGAATTAACATTAAAATGTCCACAGTCCACAGGGCAATCTATAGATTCAACACAATTCCTATTAAAATGCCAATAGCATATTTCACAGATCTAGAACAAAAATCCCAAAAATGTATGTGGAACCAAAAAAGATTCTGAATAGCTGCAGCGATCTTGAAAAAGAATAAAGTTAGATATATCACACTACTCGATATCAAATTATCCTACAAGGGCATTGTAATCAAAACAGCCTGGCACTGGCATAAGAACAGGCATGGAGATCAATGAAACACAAAAGGGGGGTGAGAGGGCACTGTTAAAATGTGTGAGCTCTCATGGGATAGTCCTCTGAGACACAGGAATTCCCTCCAGGGCCTGAGTCCAGGGGTAAGAAATGCAGAGTGTCCACCTTGCCTTCCTCTCTGTGTGTACTGCTCCGACAGCAGAGCCGTGGGTGGATGGCGACAAGGATGGGGCTAATGCAGGGGTGGGCAAACTTTTTGCTCGAGGGCCACAATGGGTTCTTAAACTGGACCAGAGGGCCGGAACAAAAGCATGGATGGAGTGTTTGTGTGAACTAATATAAATTCAAAGTAAACATCACTACATAAAAGGGTACGGTCTTTTTTTTTTTTTAGTTTTAGCGGGCCGTAGTTTGCCCACGGCTGGGCTAATGGCAGAGATAGCAGCAAATGACATTCTAATGGAGGATGGCTGCTGGGCTGAAGATGGGCAGTGACAGTGAATTATGTTCTAGGACCTTGGAGGGTAGGAGTACTGCTAGAAAATGAAACTCAGCTAATTAAGACTTAATTACTACTGCCCTAGGAGACTTCCCATTTTGCATTTTCTTAGCCCTGCTTCATTAGAAGTCGTTGGTGGTTAGATCCCAAGCTCACTTCCAAGCCAAAAAGTTAAGGGAGGAGGACGTAAAAACTGGCCTTCACAATCCAGAAATTAGGGGAAAGAGAGGGCAGCCATGAAGCAGACACAAGTCCCTTCTCAACCTGACACAGGGATGCAGACCTCATCAGATGGGGTCTGGACCACAGAGAACGGAAATTCATTTAGTGAGTCCTCTTGGAGTTTCACCCTCTGTGGTCCATTGCAAAGGCCTTGGTGTTTTCAATTTGAGTGAAAAAATATACTGACTCCTATACCTGCCTACGCAATGCAGAAATACCACTGGTGACACATGGACATGAGACCAGGCCAGAAACCTTCCTTCAGAAAGGAAGGGGGTGAGAGGGAATACGTGGGTCTACCAAAAAATACCAAATCAGATTCAACATCCAAAACCACGCTCCTGCCACCTCATGATCATAAGAAGTGAATCTAATTAAACTAACACCGTGTTATGTAACTGAGCAACCAGATGTCTAGCTACTGCTCTTACTTCAAACCACTGTGTTGACGGGTGAATTGTAACAAGTCTAGCTGTGCAAGGAAGGGAGACGGAAAGGAGAGCATGATTCCAGGGCCACCACCTGAGGAGCAGAGTCTCAAGTATCCTGCGGTCGATTTAATAATCTCATGCCACAGTCTTTTCTGGGAAATGAGAACCATAATACCCTTCCCCACACTCCTCCTCTGCTGTAAAGATTAAATTAAGTGTGAACATATTTTAGACAATTTAGTGTTATTCAGATGAAAGGAAATGGCATTATTGGGTAGAAAGCAGGGCACTGGAGGTGTGGTAGCTATTCATCCCTGGCGTACTGGTGCCCGAGACCCCGGGCCCCACATTTATGGTGCTCAGCTGGGCTACTGCTGACCATGGGTGTTTGCTTGAGGCTCTTTTTTCTTTACACTTTGAGTGCCTTGCAGTGGAGAAGCAGTCATAAGCATCCGTCCCCCATTCCTTTTTTGCCAGTTACAGAGAACTGCTGTCACCAGCTCAGAGGAGGCACAGTTCCTCTGGGCGAGTCCTCACTCCCTGGGACCAGTCAGGTTCAAGGTTGGAAGGGAGCCAGAAGTGAGCCACGCACGCTCTTCATCTTTCCTGACTTGCTCTTCTTGACTTTCTTTTTCATCCCCCTCCTTTCTTTTCAACTCTGCAGACCAATAAAGCCGTGGCCAAGGGGGACTTCCACCAGGCCAGCACCAGCTCTCGGCGGGCCCTATTCCTGGCTGTGCTCTCCATCACCATCGGAACTGGCATCTACGTGGGCGTGGCCGTGGCCCTCATTGCCTACCTCTCCAAGAACAATCACCTATGAGCTTCCTCCGCGCACGAAGGAGAAGAACTCGGGGCCAGTGTTGTGCGCACGCAGAGCGAGCAGGGCTAGCAGGGGAGAAACACCTGTGTGACGCTGTGTAGTATAAATTATTGCCAAACAACTCCATAACACCCTGAAATTTTCTACCCATCGATTTGTTTTGTTTTTACCCTTTATTTTCACAACACGTTGTAGAACAGGAGGCAGATGGGCACTGCTAACCCTTCCAAGTGGAAGCTCCAAAGATCCTTACCCTGAGGCTGTGTCTGGATGGGTTCTGGTGGACTAGCGGCAGTGCAGCTCTCTCGGCAGCCTGCCAGGGCCTGGAAAGCCATAGCACTAGCAATATACAAATAGTAAAACTGTGTTTATTTTTTATGGGATATGGTGCAATAGGCAGAAGGCCGGGGACGTGTCACTCTTCTGTCTGTTGCCTTGCTTGACTCCTCTGTCATTTCCCCAGTCCATGTACCTTCCCCGTGGAAAGGAAACAGGGCTGATCAGAAAGACAGACAAAGCTGCTGGCAGGAACCCTGCTCTCCTTGGTCTTCAATGGGTGCAGCCTAAGAATGCCAAGTCAGAACAGTGTGGGACCTGTCCCCAGGCCCAGTCTTTCCTCCCTGCCCTTCCTTTTGCCGCCCCCCCCCCCCAGCCTAGGCTCATCCAGCCCCCCTTGTCATGTCCAAACTTAGCAGCCACCACACAGCAATCTGCACCCTTGGGCCTCATTGATCTAGCGTGGGGGGAGCAGGCCACAGTCTGTCCCGGACTCCTCCCAGAAGGACGCCGAGGTTTGCTCCAGGACCTGCGGACACCATCTCAGCATAAAGACAAGCGTTGGCGCTCGCCTTGGTGATAAGCAGTGGCACTAGTGATCTTAGGAGGAGATGAACCTTCTCTGTTGACTAAATGAATAGCTATTTTCTTGTCATTTTTTAAGTGCAACTACTGCTTCATGCTGCTTAGTTATCAGACGAATGCTGAGAAATAATCACAGACATTTTAATACCATTTCATTGCTGTTTCACGAGTGTTCATTATTTAACAAAAATTATCTTTCAGCTATTTTGCTTAAGACTTTTTTTTTTTTATTAATACTGTTTCTTAGGTTTCACTTATAGTTATTTCTTTTTAAAATAATTAAAGAGCTAGCCAGGACTCAGTTGCTAAAACAGTAGGAGGGCCTCCTAAGATGAGAATCACAACATCTCTGACGGCTTAAGTTCCACCTGGAACACTATTCACATGCACTGTTGTTCTGATACTTTGAATGGATGCTGAGACCATCTCTCTAGGGCAATGGTTTCATCCCAGCACCTACAGCATTCCTGCTGCCTGGATCCCAGCCCCAGATTTCTGATTAGATTGATTGGGGTGCAGCCTGACGATTCCAGTGTGCTGAATCACTGTCCTGGAATAAGGACTCAGGTTTGAGCTCCCTCACCCTTGACCTTAAACACTTAATATTGTGAAAATTATTAGCACTGCCTTCCTAGGTCAAGTCCAAGATCTTCTACCATTTGGTTATAATAGCTGCTTCAAAAATGTGCTCTAAAAAACATATATATATGGAAGAAATCCAAATGTCCCTGTAAGAATCAGAGTAACACAGCAATAGCAGGGATTTGGGATCAAACCAACCTGGACTTGAATCCAGTTGTGCTACTTTCTAGCAGTGTGATCTTGGGTAGATGGTTGTACTTCTTGGAACCTCACCTCTAGAAGAGGATAAGTGAGGCCCACTTCCTAGGATTGCTGTAAGTGTGTGAACACAGAGCCCAGCTCCTGGCCTGGGTCATGTGAAGGAGTTGGAGTGGCCGCTGTTATTCCCAGTGTTTGGGTAATCATCCCCTGGCTTGCTTGTACCGTCCCATCATTTCAGCCCAATCTCTCCAGGTTTATTTATCAAGAACCACGGTGTGAAATGGGCTTCATTGTATTTGTCCTAAAAAGGCTTATATGAAGTTTAAGAGGTGCCCAAAGTTCCATGACTTTGGATTTGGTTAAGAAGTAGAACGTGTATGTCACGTCCCGCCATCTCACTGCCACATCATGGTTGCTCTACACTAACCCTTCTGTGCCCAGATACCCTGTCTCCTACCAGACCAACCTCCCCCTTCTCTCAGCCCCTGCCTTTCCAGTTGGAGAAGCGTTCATTTCCAGTGGATCATCCCTCTCTGTATTTTTTGAAGCTCTACCAAGTCCTTCCCAAGGACCAGCACGAGGACCACAGGTGGTACCATATAGTGTGGATGGTCATGTGCGTAGGGTTAGGGCCAAACCTGTCAGGACAGCTGAATGAATGGGTGTGGCCTCCCAGCTCACTGGATAGATAGACACAACACAACCCAGTTCTCTGACCAGCGGGGGAGGTGGTTGCATGTCATCCTCGGTGTCCTGTTAGTGACTGCTGAGCAGCAGCATAACAGTCTTCTAAGTGAGTTGGGGCTGCCATGTACTTCTAAAGTCACATTACCTTAGTTGTCATTGCAGCCACCATGGACCAGGCAGTGCCCTGGGCAGGCCCTACATTAGTCACTGGGCCCACATTATCTCATGTATCCCAAGGACTCCGGAGGTAGGTGAAAAGGTGATAGAACTGAGGTTCAGAGAAGGTAACTCACCCAGCACCACACAAGTGGCAGCTGTAGAACACCCCAGCCCCACCACCCCTCCAGGCAACAAAACGCCTACTGGTAGAACCTGCTTCCACACCCCTCATGGGAGGCACAGCCTTCCCTTTAGCATCGCACTCCATTTTGTAAGAGCTCTTTATTACAACCATTTTATTGACATACAGAGACCCAGAGCCCGTTCATAATTTTCCTCTAAGTCATGCACCTGGAAAACAGCAAAGCCAAGATGCATCCTAGACCATTGGATCATAAGCCCCATCGGATTCCTCTTACACTGTGTTTCCTCCGTTATGGCTTTACAAGCGAGAAAAATTACATCTGGGCCAAGATCCCATTGTTGGGGTGCCAAGACTCTTAGGGGACTGGAAAGATGCTTTTGGTTTATGTTTCACAGCCTGTCTTTGCCACTAAGTGGTGGGACAATGTGGTGAGAAGGGGGGAGGGCTGAGGTGACTTCCATGGGAAGTGACACCTCAGCAAAGGTGACTAGGGCATATCTTATTCCTGTGAACAATGCTCTCCTTCCCACAGCCTTGGAGGCATCCCTGGCTGACCTACCTCCACCGGCCACAAGGCTCTTCCTGTCCCGGCTTCACTAGGCATGCCTGGCCTCCTCGGGTGTCCCCCCTTCACCAAGTGCCTCCAGTTTCACCAGGAGTCCCCACTTCACCAGATATCCCCACTTACCCAACTCTCCCCCAGGAACTACAATGGGCCCAAGGAGAACATGGTGAGAGAAGCTCATCTGTAAGTCACTGTGTCATCAGCAGCTGCCCAAGGTGCCACAGAGAGTTCGGCCACCCAGCTAAATAGAAACAGGGCCCTGACAATAGGACCAGCCTCTTCAAAAGCCGGGCAGCGCATTCCTCACACCCAGTCAGTCTCTCGGCACTTTTTAAGATGCTAGAAGCCTCCCTCATATGAAGCAGCTTCTGGATTTAAAATGCATCAATGGAGCAGCCTTCCCATTTGCCAACAACTCCTACTGCTCTAGGATGTACAAGCGTCCAATGGTCACCACGGCTAAAGCCAGGGCCAAAGCTGCCTTTTCAGCGATCCTGGCTGGGTTTCTGGGCCTCACCCCTGAGGTTCTACAGGGCCTCTGAGGCCTCCTGTGGACTGGCTTCAGTCCTAACCCTTATGAGGACCATTTTGTGTTTCACTCTTTCCCCCTCAAAGACCACCTGCATTTGTTGCCATGAGTGTTGACATCGACCCAATTTATCAATAAACCATTTAGTGTAAATTCAAACCCTGAGCTGAGGCTGACCTCCCTAAAAATGCAGCTGTCCCATCTCCTACCTAGAGGCCACCTTTGCATCTGCGCTCTGCTCTTGATGTCGTTGGAAACATCAGAGGGAGCCAGAAGTTGTGTGTGAAGCTGTGGCTGTGATGTCTCCACCCCCATGACCTCTTGAAGCCCCTCCCTGGTCTTCAGGATGCGCTGAGCCATCCCCTGGGGTGGAGGAACTTCATTTCCCCGGGGTTCTCATTTGAAGACCGCACATCTTAGGAAAGCAATGGTGGACTCTAGACCCGCAGATGGCCGAGGCCAGCAGACCGCTGGCTCCCTGCCAAACAAGCATGTAAATAAAGTAGTGAACGTGTCCCCTCACTGAGCCCCACAGGAGGGGTCAGGGCTCCACATGGGTGCAGAGGGAGTGGGGAGGAGCTGTCTACCCTGCGTTTAAGGTACAGCTGGGTTCTGTGGGCCAGTGGCTGTCCTGCATTGCAGGAAGGGTATTGATAAGATCACCGATAACAGCCAGTACAGCTGCCCCACACAGGAGGGCATGGTGATTAGGAGTGGAGCTCCCTGTGGGTTTTCCTAGTAGAGAGTGTGTCTTGAGTGAGTCATGGGTCAGGGGAGATTACTGGGGGCTCTAAAGATTTGCCCACCCCACCACGTAGAAAAGCAAGCTTGGCAGGATGATTGGAGCGATGAGGTGGAATGTGGATACCTCCATGGATAAGCACTGAGCTGGAGACATTCTCAGGGGTGGGGCTAATCCAGACAATGGTGAGAGGAGCGGCCGCCCCAGAGTTCAGTGCGGTACTCGCTCTGGACTTTGGGCCATGGTTCCTCTGCTGTTAGGATGAATCTGGGCTCCAGGCTGCGAGGTGGCTGTCTTTTTAGCGGAGCAGTGCTGTCAGGCTCCTCAGTCACCCAGAGCCCTCTCCTCAGTGAGCTCAGGTTGCACTTCCCAGGCCAGGGAGACAGGTTCCTGAACCTGACTTCAGCATCTAGCCATGCACTCCACTGACCAGCAGGGGGTGACTAAAGCCAAGGCGCTCTGCAGGGGGAGGGGGTTGGGGAGGTAAGTGCCAGGGGGTGCATTCACTGTATCCCTATGACCTCTAGGGGACTATGCCTGGTTTTTTCACTAAAATTAGGCCATTCTGGGCCAATTTGAAGATAAAAGTTGATAGATGGAAGGAATGGAGGAAAGGAAAGTAGGAAGAAAAGAGAGAGGAGAATGGGTGAGCACGCACAAAATCACAGCACCAGCCACGCATGCAGCTCTCAGGCCTTCAGCTATGACACCTCCTGTCACCTGAGTCCAACCCATGGCTCAGCTGAAAAAATAAATGGTGATTTGGGTATATTGCCCATCTACACAAGAAAATTCATATTTGGATTCAAACTATTTTATTAAACGAATCAAGATTTATAGGTGGAACAAGATGGGGAATGGTTTGCATTCTTCTAAAACACCTAATGTTTTTGTTCCCTGAATATGATCCCAGAACATGTTAAAAATATGTTTTTCTACTTGATTTGGTAAACAAAGTCTTATTCCTGATAAATAGAAAGAGTCTGCTACGATCAGCTATTGCTAAGGGCTGAATTAGTTGCAGAGCCGATGAAGAGCTATGAAACCTCCGCACTTAGCACCACCAGGCAGGGCTTTCATTCATTCTCTTACGAGGTCCTGTGTGATTAGAAGCAAGAGGCTGTTACTGTCAACAGACAGACCCTTTTGAATTTAGAAACAGGGATCAGGCCACTTCAGTATCGCTCGCCCTTTGTTTTAGCCCATAATGGAGTAAAGGTGATGCCCACAGATAATGCTCCCTCATTACCATTCCCACACAGAAACCCAGCTATTCGAAAGTCCCAAATGAGCTCTTTATCTGGCATCCTGTGAACTCCCATACAATATGCCTTTCTAAAATAACACGCACCTTGAATTTAGAGTGCATTGCAAGTGGATCCCGCTCGGTGCCAGGCCTGTCAGATCCTCAGTGTCCGATGAGGCTCTTGCCCCACCATCACCAGCCAGGAAGTGACAGAACCTGGCCTTGGGCTCAGACGAGGAGCTCTGGGGCCAGTGCCCTCACAACCAGGACCAGGAGACTGTGGGGCTC